CTTCCACAAAGTGTCCGCTTTTGTTTCTTGAGCAACATGATGAAACACATTATCATCAATCCATTGTCGGATAAACCCAACCGTTTTTCGATTCATACGCTCCCATTCTTTGTCTTCCTTATCTCCTTTAGCCTCATCGCCTTCAACGGGATCAAATAAATCTTTGCAATATAACATGTCTTCCATCCGAGGCTTCCAAATGTTGTAATTCGAGGCATTTAACTTAAACATGGTGCCACTAGTTTCCTCCATTCAATACTAGAATATCAACGCTAGCTCTGATACCACTTTGTTGGGGAGAACCGCGAGCAACAATTCGCCAAGAACTCAACCAATCCAATATCAATATCTCCCCCGAAATTAAACCGACCGAAATCGACTTAATTCCAACAACAACCCACAATTTCCAGCAATATAAACTTGCAATAATAAGGAAACAAATGCAACAATCGACACCAATATTTAATGTGGAAACCCAAAGTGGGAAAAACCACGAACCGCCCCAAAAACTTCAACTAATCACCGAGAATAGTAGGATACACCAAGTTCTTCTCTAGTCACACACTAGAGGCACAACATCAACATTACAACATCATTTCTTCACCACAAAGGTGGATTTATACAAAATGAGGAGAGAAACCCTAACCGCGATTGAAGAGTTCGGAGGAGATTCTCAACGAACGAAACCGATCAACTCGTAGCCCTCGGTCTCACAAACAACATACTAAAATTTGAGCCAATTCCGATAACATTTGGCCTTCGAATCGGGACCGCGAAGTTCAGCCCCCTTTTCTTCCCCTCTTCTCGCGCACCTCTGTGAGCTCTCGGTAAAGCTCTCGCCTTTTTCTCTCTCTCTTCTCTGTGGGCTCCTCTTCTGCACGAAGCTGCCCCCTTCTTTTATTCTTTCTTTTTCACTTTGACTTTCTTTTGTTTTGTTTGTTTTGATTTAAGTACTAACTGGGCCCCACATAAGGTGGACCCAGTCAACATTACTGAGCCGTGGTTACTCACCCCTTTCTTTCTCCAATCTTTCAGGTTCCTTGGCTAGTAACCAATAGAGCGAGAGCGATGCCGTGGGGATATTTGGGTGGTTTGAGGCTGCGTTCTTCGGGTGGAAGGATGGCCGTGTCATCTCCCGTTCTGGTAGGTTTCGGGGTGTGACATTGGGAATTGGCCCCCGCGAGGAATCGGCCCGGACAAACTATTATATGCAATGCTAAACTTAGACAAGAAGTTGAGACGCACTAACGAAAAAGGTATACTTCCCGACAGATTGTTGTAAGACAGATCAAGAGTCTCCAGGCTAGTCATTCCGGATAAACTGTCGGGAATCGAACCTGATAAGAAGTTGTTGCTGAGATCCAATATATGAACATTTTTCATATCCCCGAACTCCGGCAAGATAGATCCGTTGAGAGAGTTGTACCCGAGATCTACAGTCGGTGGAAAGCTTGTAACTTGATTGTACTGCAGCGCCCTCACGCTCACATCCCTCTTCACGAAGAGTGGAAATTCTGTAGAAGGTTCCATCATTGACGTATTCCTCTGGATGAGGCTAGGCAATCTGGTAATCTCTTTTGGGATCTTGCCCACAAACGAGTTGTTCGATAAGTCTAGATAAAAGAGAGATTGGAAGTCGCCAATCCACGCGGGGATCGTTCCACCCAAACTGTTCCAGGACAAATCCAGCAACTGCAAACGGGTGCATCCACGCACCCATTGGGGCATTGAACCCCTTAGTCGACCATAGGCGATAATAAGAACCTTAAGCTTCGGAAAACTCAAACTTGCATCGCTGGCCAATTCTTCGTCCAAGTAATTCGGAGTGAGAACCAAAACTGTCAAATTTTTGCAGTGCTGAAGGATCCCGAGTGCAGATGAGAGGTTCGATTGGCTCGAATTCGAGATTGAAAGACAAAAAAGGCTGGAAAAGTTTCTCAAGCTTTGAGGTATCGGGGTTGTGAACTTGTTTCGTGCAAGGTTCACATTCTGCAGCTGCCGGCAATTGGGCAAATCCTCAGGGACAGGACTACTGAAATTGTTGGTACCTAAATCCAGAGACACCAGAATGCTCAATGCCGAGCAATTAAGACCTATCCTACCGGTCAGCGAGTTGTTCCTCAAATTGAGAAACGTAAGCGATGGCAAATTGGACAAGGAAGATGGGATGGGGCCCATGAAGCCATTGCTCTGAGCAATGACGTGATGCAGCTTCTTCATGTTCTGAAACACATCCGGGATCGACCCAGAGAATCTGTTTGTCAAGTTGTCCAACTGAACCAGTTCCGTGAGATTACCATCCCGCTGCCAAGCGGCCCTGAAAGCGAGTTCTCCTGAAGGCTTAATTGGACCAACTGACCCAGAGTGAAGATATCTTCACTGATTTCACCCGTGAGACTATTCGTGGCTCGAGAAAGGTTCTGCAAGGACCTACAATTACCGAGTCCCGGTGGGATAACATCAGAGAAATAATTGACAGCCAGATTAAGCACCTGAATGCAGATCAAGTTCGCACAAACCCACACGGGCAGAGACCCACTGAAAGAGTTCTCAGAGATGTTGAAAACGCGAAGCGAGGGCAAATTGGCACTCTCAGGGACCGGTCCCGTGAATTCATTGTAGCTGAGATCGAGGACCTGCAAATTAGGGAGGTGGAGGAGAGACTCAGGGAGTGTGCTCGTGAGGAGGTTGTGAGAGAGATTGAGGAATCTCAGCTGGTCCAACTTGCCGATCGAGTCCAAGAGGTTGCCTGCAAGCTTCTTGCTCGCGAGGACCAACTCCACCACTCTGGCTGAACCAGAAGGACCGTCGCTCAGGCCAAGAGAAGTCGAAGAGTTGCACACCACGCCCAGCCAGTCACAGCAATTGGCAGACTCGTTGAGTCCCCAACCGTCAATTGGGATTGGGGACTCTATGTTGCTCATCAAGTCTAGCAATGCTTTGGAGTCGCTCGAATTGCATACAAGGTCCTCTTGAGAGTGCAGGACCTGTGCTTGGAGGCAAAGCCAAGAGACCGCAACGACCACCCACAGCGAATCATGAACACCCATATGAAGAAACAGAGCACCCAAAAGGAAAAACCCAATATGATTGATCGCAGAAACAGCACGAGAGAGTAACAGAGAAAAAGGGCCGTGGATGGATTAAGTGATGGAGAAACCCATCTTGAGAAGGATCAGGATTTGCAGATTGTGAGAGCGTGAGAGAAAATGGACAAAGGGGAAGAGGGAAGAGGAGGCAAAGAAATCAAAGTGGTGGCACTTCATCGGCTTCCTATTTTCTCTTGCTTGCTTCATTGTGAAACAAAGAGCAGAATAAAGAAAAGAGGGATTGTGGTGAGAGAACTGAGCTAGAGAGAGCGAGAAATTGTGAGCTTTGACTTCAACACGCTTGTTGGGTCTGAATCCCAACCCAATTGCTCCTCCTCCTCTGCCCTGGGCGCAGGGGACGAGTGAAGAGGAGACGAGGAAAGTGGCGGTGCTTTCTTTCTTGCTTCCTTGTGAACCAAGGAAGGAAGAATATAAAGAAAAGACCGGTTGAATTAAGTATATGGCTGAAACATGTGAAACTTATAGTGTCAACTTTGATATCTTGAATCGATGTAAAGTAAATGCTTCGATATATCTCCTCTTTTACATTGCTTGAGATATTTTGACCATGCCCATCCCGCCCATAGCATCAAAAGCCGCATTTAGCACTAGAGTTTGTGTGTTTGACATGTTTCACAGCCCCTTGACTCCAAGTATGGAGGCTCTTATAAGTGTTCGAGATTGATTACGCACCACTTTCACTTTCAATGGAGGCAGACTCAGAAGAACTTGAATATTTCTAGTCAGTTTAAAAGATACGTTTATAGTATACAATCTCTGCTTTATTACATTGATAGTTTAGTTCTTATTTCTCATTGTGAATTTAATGCAGAGTTGTCCACTAAGATCATGGAGCTGAGCTCGATATCGATTTATCTTGATTACCAATGGATCTAGAGATTGGTACTTGTTAAACTCGGATTTTTTTTTTGTTGTCAATTCAGTTGATGCTGGGTGTGCTGTTATCCCTCACATGAAAAGAAGGTAATAATGTCAGGTATAACATTCCAATCATCTGTGTTGTGGCCATCAGTGATCTTGCTGATATGGTTTTGCTGTACCAGTGAAGTGAGTCCAGAGTCTTGATGACATGTTGCACGAAAAGAAGGGACCATGCATGAACTAAATATAAAAGAAGTTTGTCCAGATTACATCGAGGATATAATTATGATATATTCAAAGCAGCATCAGAAGTTAATCATTCAGCGACCAAACCTCACTCTGCCTAAACTAAAACACCATAAAGGTGTTCTTGCATCTTATCTTATATGAACGACTGAGGTAAAACGGTTGCTTCAAAATCAATAGGGGATTTTGGTATCCACCACATGCTCTTTCTTTGACTGCAAGAGTATCTAGGAGGGCAGTTTCTTATTTTCACGAAGAGAATCTTCAATTTAAATGGTGATGCCCTGAAGATTTACGCGTCTCAGTGGCTGCCGAATGTATCGAGAGCTGGGAATGTGAAGAAGCAAGCCGGGTCTGACTTGGATTCGGACTCTAACAATGAAAAGCTCACTCCGAAGGACTAGCTTCTCGTTGGGTCGATAATCAGCGTTTTTCCTGCAGAGAAAGGTGTTGTTTCGTGCAGGTTTCCTGCTGAAGCTCTTTAAGGAGGGGAACATGCAACTTCTTCTAGAATGGAACTGGCCTAGAGATTGGGAATTCAACGGGACAAAATGGGGCCGGCCAAAATGACGGGGCTTCGGTGCCTAAAATCCACGTCAGCCAGAGATGTTGAGGTAATGTACATGTGGAATCGACACATCAGACCTTTAACGGGGCAAATTTGGTTGATTTTTTATGAGATAATAAAAAATTTCAGCCAAAATTGGAACCCGGCTAAAGTTAGTGCTTTTTAGCAGAATTGGGCTGTGAATTACCAAATTTACCAACATTCCAACAAAAGAGTAAGTCACAATTTTTTTTTTAGTTTTTCATCAGAACATCTTAACACAATTACAAAATCTCATTATCATACGTAAACACGAATCACCGGTCCTAGTTGTTCCTAACGTAATTCCAATGACCATTCCAAATGCAAGTCCAATGGTCATTCCAAGGTTTCTATCGCTCATGGCATGATCGGCAGATCCAAAATGATTTTGACTATGGTCGGCGGTTCCAGGATGACTTTGACTCCCTAGGCAGGGGGGAGCATGATCAACACACAGTTTGGTTCCTACAAAACTCGAATTGGGAAAGGTGAGGAATTGGCCACCGCTAGGAATGGGCCCAAACAAATTGTTATATGCAACACTGAACTTGGACAGAAAGGTGAGACGCACTAACGAGGAAGGTATACTTCCCGACAGATTGTTGTAAGACAAATCGAGAGACTCTAGGCTAATCATTTCGGATAAACTGTCGGGAATCGAACCTGATAAGAAGTTATGGCTGAGATCCAAGATATGGACATTTTTCAAATTCCCGAACTCTGGCCAGATTGATCCGCTGAGAAAGTTGGATCCGAGATCCACAGTCGGCGGCAAGCTTGAAACTTGATTGTACTGCAGCCCCCTCTGGCTCACATTCCTCTTCATGAAGAGCGGAAAATCAGGAAGAGATTCCGGCGTCGACATATTTCTGCGGATGAGGCCATGCAATCTGGTAATGTCTTTTGGGATCTCGCCCACGAACGAGTTGTTTGATAAGTCCAGATAAAAGAGAGACTGGAAGTCGCCGATCCACGGCGGGATCATTCCACCCAAATTGTTCCAGGACAAATCCAGCAAATGCAAACGGGTGCATCCACGCACCCACTGCGGCATCGAACCCTTCAGTCGACCGGATGCAATAATAAGAACCTTAAGCTTCGGAAAAGTCAAACTCGCGTCGCCCGGCAATTCTTCGTCCAAGTAATTCCGAGTGAGAACCAAAAATGTCAAATTGTTGCAGTGCTGAAGGATCCCTAGTGCAGACGAGAGGTTCGATAGGTTCGAATTTGAGATCGACAGGTAAACAAGGCTGGAGAAGTTTTTGAAGCTTTGAGATATCGGGGTTGTGAACTTGTTTTGTGCGAGGTTCACGTTCTGCAGCTGCCGGCAATTGGGCAAATCCTCAGGGAAAGGACCCCTGAAATTGTTGGAACCTAAATCCACAGTCCCCAGACTGCTCAATGGCGAACAGTTAAGACCTATCCTCGTCAGCGAGTTGTTCCTCAAATTGAGGACCCTGAGCGATGGCAAATTGGACAAGGAAGACGGGATGGGGCCCGTGAAGCGATTGAAATGTGCTATGAAGTACTGCAGCTTCTTCATCTTCTGAAACACATCCGGGATTGACCCCGAGAATCCATTTGTCGATATGTCCAGCCGAACCAGTTTCGTGAGATTACCGATCCTGTGACCGAGCGGCCCAGAAAACAAGTTTTCCTGGAGGTTCAAGTGGACCAACCGACCCAGAGTGAAGATGTCTTCATTGATCCCACCTGTGAGGCTATTCGTGGCCAGAGAAAGGTTCTGCAAGGAGCTACAATTGCCGAATCCTGGAGGGATAACATCATAAAAATGATTCACAGCCAGATTAAGCACCTGGATACGGGTCGAGTTCACGCATATCCTCACGGGCAGATACCCACTAAAAGAGTTATCAGAGATGTCAAGAACGCGGAGTGAGGGCAAATTGGCACCCTTGGGGACCAGTCCCGAGAATTTATTGTTGCTGAGATCGAGGACCTGCAAATTAGGGAGATGGAGAAGCGATTCAGGGAGTGTGCTCTTGAGGAAATTGTGGGAGAGATTTAGGAATCTCAGCTGGTCCAACTTGTCGAGTGAGTCCGAGAGGTTGCCGGCAAGCTTCTTGCTCGCGAGGACCAACTCAACCACTCTGCCCGAACTGGAGGGACGATCGCTCAGGCTGAGAGAAGACGAAGATTTGCACACCACCCCCGGCCAGTCACAGCAATTGGCGGATGCGTTGAGTCCCCAACCGTTGATTGGGGACTCAAAGTTGCTCATCAAGTCTAACAATGCTTTGGAATCGCTCGAATTGCATACAAGGTCCTCCTGAGAGTGCAGGACCTGCGCTTGGAGGCATAGCCAAGAGACGGCGACGACCACCCACAGCGAATCTCGAACACCCATATGAATAAACAGAGCACCCAAAAAAATTTTCCAATATGATTGATCGCAGGAACGGTATGATAAAGTATCAGAGGAAAAGGGCGGTGGAGGGATTAAGTGACGGAGAGACCCAGCTTGAGAAGGACCAAGATTGGTGAATTATGAGAGCGTGATGGTGGAAGCAAGACAGAAAGAGCCAAGATTTCGTTTGGGAAGGAGGTGCTCAACGAGAAGAAGAAGTGGGGTAACCGGCGAGAAACCAGTGAGCCTCGAGTTTCACGGGGAGTGAGAGAAGTCCAAAGAGGTTTGCTTGTGGCATTCCTCTGTTGACATCTCGTAGTGGTATTTTACTGACAATAGAAACAGGAACCTTTGGAAACCTCGCTGGGATACTTATAGTTGATGCAAGCACACGATTCGATTTGATTTGTGTTGCGGAATGAATAGGCAAGCATTACGGAATATCTTACGATGGTGTTCAAAACGTGTTGTATCGTCCACGTATAGCGGCACTCCAAGTTAGACTCTGCACTCGAACACTTGAGTGCAGTGGGGGTGGCAGTTGCTGAGACTGCTCAATATAACTCCATAGCTATGCCAGATGATCAAATGACCCTTGTCTCGTGAACCGACAATTATTTTTACACAGGGCGCAACGGAATTAATCCCTCTTTTTATTTAAAAATTGATATTTGGTCTAAAAAGAAGGTGTTTGTTTCCTCAATTCATGAAGCTGCAGAGGAGTTCAATTTCTTTACATCTGGATGTAACTGTTTGTTGCCCTTAAATAATTGATACAGCTCATGACGTGGAGTGAAGGCATACTCAAATATGAATGCAAGGGGTAATGAACTTCAATGGTTGAAGAATCATTGCATCAATGAGTAAAACTCTTCGTCTATCGATTTTAACATCTGGTCACATGTATCATCGGAAAAGTCAGCTTCAGGATGGATAATGTCGTTTGGTGTAAACTTTTCCTTACACTAACGGTGTATGGTCTGCCTTTTCTGTGACTTATCTAATAAAGATCATTCCAAGAGGACTAAGCATTATCCAATACTTAGAGGTGAAGTTCATCTTTACGGCAATATCTGAAGGGCCATTTTCTTTTTGAGCTTTGACGATCATTTCATGCTTCAATATGGTCACAAAATATATGGTTGGAAGGCTCATTGTGTCTAGTTTCTAAGGCAACAAGTTTCATGTAATTTGAAATCTTGTAGAGAAAGTTATAATCAAATTACTGAGTGCTACTCAACTTACTCGAGAACGAGTTTTTACAATTTCCATGATTTTATTGAATCCTATACATTGTAAGTTATTAATAAAGCTCGAGTCAAGAGTCAATCTATTTATTCATGTTTTATTTTGGGAATATTGTTTAAATTGAGTCTATATAAACTTTTTTAGGATTTTTGCTGCGCCTTTGTCAGACTAAGGGATAAGTCGTACGTACAGAACACGAATATATGTACCCTCCTCTTAACTTACACACATTTTTTGTTTTAATTAAACAATTAATGTGAGATTTGACAGTAGTGTGCTCATTTGTGCACAAATCTATCTAGTCATTATTATGGAGTGGGCAAGATTATTACCTCTAAAGCTTTGATCTTCCTTTCCATATCACAAATATGCTAATTCTGCTTCAACCTAGCTCTGTCGGCAGATGCAAGATATGATCCTATATACACAATATAATACTCGTGTTAATAAAAAGATCAATGCTCGTCGTAACAAGATATGCACGAACGAAAATGCTCAAAATGGACCGACGTAAATAAAAGGAAAAACAATCGAAGCGTAATTAAGTTCTCATTAATAAGTATTCACCTTTCAAGTTTTTGAGGGTCCATGTTCAGGTTTAGGGGTCAAGAGTGTCGCCTGCAACCAATGGTAAGTTTGTGAGCTTCAACTTCATCGTTCCTGCAATAGGGTTTGGGTTAAACTTGTAGAGAAAGAGTCAGCGAAGAAGCACTTGTTGGATCCATGAGGGCCAAGAGGTCAATTGTTTTGTTCTCCTCATCCATTTATCGTGCGTTCCACTAGAAAAAAACAACAGATAATAACACGCAATAAGAATTGCTCAATCCTAATACTTTTCAAGCGCAAAGAGGGATTGATTTGCACTTGAACTCATGAGAATAGAGTGTATTTTTAAGTGAATTTCAGGGTGGCTAGTTTAAGAATTTAGGGATAAGTGCACTAAAAGTCCTAAAACTTATCATGAAAATGCAATTGAATCCTATAACTTTCAAAAAGTGCAATCAAGTCCTAAAATTTGTTACAAAAGTGCAATCGAGTCATAAAACTTTCAAAAAGTGCAATAGAGTTCTAAAACTTTGAAAAAGTGCAATCGAAATCTTAAAACTAATAGGCCAATAAAAACTCATTAGATGTTCTGTCACCTGTTCTTATTAGTCCACGACAGATCACAAAAACCCAAAAAAAGTATTGTTACGTGAGTTGCATGAGAAATTTCTAGTGTTGTTTGGCTGTCGGCATGGGTGCGCTTGTGCTAATATATCACCAGCCGATACAAAGAGAGAATATCACGGAAGCATAAAATGGTGCTAAATATAGTTTCATCCGATATTCATCGATTAAAATCATTTTAAGATATGCCTCAAGTTTCTTAGAATTTTTTAAGCAACTTAGTGTTAGTAAATGTATGCAAGTTTATGACAATCTAGTTTACAGTTTTACTATCGATCTACAACAAACATTGTAATCACCAAAGTTCGTAAGCAAGATGGATTCAGCTAGGCTCCTTATTTTCTTATTCTTTGGTTAAACATATCTTCATTATGCTTCTTGATTTGCATGCCATAAATCAACCACGAATGAGGATTTTGTCCATAATCCAACATTTTTGGAAGGTGATGAATTAGTTGATATAGGAAAATCAAAGAATTAAGAAAATATGGAAAAAAAAAAATCAATCATTCCTTTCGGTCAATGGCTTCAATCTAACAGAGATATAAAAGGTACAACACTATATACGTTTAGAATAGGCAAAAAGCCTGCATATGCTAATGAAAAACACTCTTAACTTTTAGGACAATATCCATTTGAGGATCGAAGAACCAACAAAACAATCAATATTAACAATTGGGCAATGTACGGTGGCTCAAAAAATAATGAAGATTAGGTGATTAACGATAGTAGCGCCATCATACGACAATGGAGCCTACAATTATAGAACAACAAACTTAAGAGGATTTCATGAAATGATTAGAAGAGAAAAGGGCGTAATTACTAGAAATTAACACAAAATTCTCGTTATGATCGACCCTCGCTTATATGATGGTTCAACCTTTTTAATGCACACGATTGACACTCTAGTATGTGCTTTGCTTCCTTGATGAGCCTAACACGCCAAAGTAATTCCTTAAAAGGTGATTATTAAATTATCGTCAACGGCTAACTATTTCCGTTAGAGCAATGGATCAAATAACCTGCAATTTCAAGATAATCCTGGGCGTTAAAGTTATTTCAGTTCATTTATGCATGAGATCACGTACTGTTCAGAGGTCGAATTAGTGTCATGCAAGACGTACGTGCACACGGCTGGCTATTAGAGTGATTATAAGAAAGAGGTTGTAAATGTTATGACATACATCCATATTCTAATCTCCATTAAGTCTACTTTTACCGAAGAACGCTAGTAAGATATCCATTCGGTGAAAGCATAACATCAAACAAAATTCGAACAATATAATCAGGCTAGGACAAATTGATTTTTACTCCTGTTTTCTTAGTTGATTCAAGCAAATGATGTGACTTTGGAAGAGTCGAGGAGAGTACAGATTTATGAATGTGTAGTATACATACGTTTTACTTCTTCCATTGGCTAGATAGACTCTCCACAGCCAACATGTACAAGGTTATTCCGACAAATGATACAATATGAATGAAGAACATCTATTAAGCGTGTGCATATTAATCATAAATCATCCTTAGATTTGAGATAAACAATTCTATAAGATCGCGAGGCAGGCAAAAGTTTAGCAAATGGTTCATTTGGTATAAACATATAAATGAAGCCATGGAGTTTTAAAGCTCCAAATTGTCTTTATTAATCTCACATAGATAGAACAACCACACTCATACTGAAAACTGGATCAAGCATAAAATGTAAAGACTTAAGGATTTTGGGTCTCTTAACAAGAACTTAATTAACTCAAAGCATCTTAATCTCTTGGCCTACATATAATTGTAGGTCGGAAGTCCCAATTGGTTCATGAGCTCTGCATACTTTTGCTGTTGTTCCACATACACCTCTGTTAGCTCGTCCTTCTCTTTCTTCAATTGCACATATTCAGCTGCATCAAATATCGGTCAATTACATATTTGTAATTTCTCCTTCGATACGCGTGCACGCAAAGAGAGAGAGAAAGAGAGAGGACCTTGTTTGGATTCGATTTTATGAGAAAAGAAACCGATTTTTCGCTTTAATATGTCATTTTCAACTTGGAATAAATAGTACTGCCGTTCCCAATAGTACATCGTCACAAAGTCCTTTCCTATGTTGGCCTGTATACATCAAACAAGAGAAATTCAACATCATTAGATACTTGTCATGTGCATCACTTCAAATGTCAAATCTTGAGAGCACACTAAATGAACAAAAATTGGTGGAGTAATCATATCGATAACTAACTTCAAGAGATTTCACTATCCGTTCCATTTGCATTATTTGAGAAATCTCTTCGGGATGAAAGATTTCACTGTACTGCCTGCTTGCCAATGTCCTGAAAAACACAAAAACAAAAGAAAATTGAAAAAAAGTCACCACTTTATTTTAAAAGGCACCACGTGATATACTAACAATTGGAATATTAAGAGAACCGAAAATTGAAAATCTCTCCACCATTTTTGCCATTTCTGTGTTTTTTTTTTTTTTGCCCGTTTCTTTTCCGACCAGCACTTTCAAATGATATGTCTAGGTCAAGAAAATGGGCATGGTTATCCATGCTAACATTTTGAAACACGTTTAAAGGTTTTACATTTACAAGCACCTCCTACGCTTCTTAGGGTTGATATTAGGGTTTTGTGAGCTTTGTCCTTCCATTCTCTGGCTTGTCGAAGATAATGGAGGCATCCCTAGGGAAATGATTCTCTCCTTCTTGTCGTTGGAGTTGTTGAAGCTCTCCATTAACCACTTCAACAAAAAGATTGCCCTATAACAA